TGTTTCGCATGCCGGTGCCAGAGCCCTGCTGCACACCCGCAGCCCCAGCCAGCGCCCGCAACTGCTTGACGGTCTTCTTCGCGAGCTCCCCGCGCAGCCAAGCCACGCCGTCAGCAGCAAAACCTTCTCGCAGGCGCTGCAGCTCTTGCTGCAGCGCAGCGCCAGCTTCATCCTGTTCAAAGGTCGACAAGAAAAGCCTGAAACTGCCCTAGTCAAGAGACACTGCGCATGCGCCGCTTGAACGTAAAGCCCAAAAAAAAGCAAGCTCCAAGCCAGAAACAACCTTGACCCCAACCTGCGTAGGAATGCAAACAATATGACACACAAACCTTAGAGAAGGAGGAAACCAAGAATACAAAGCACAAAAATGACGCTTTCCCCAAGACGCCTCCTGCTCGGAAATGCACTGCGAGAGAGCGTCGAGAAGCTCCTCTCTGTTCCGCATGCGCGCACCAGCGCGCAGGTGCACACCCGCAGCCCCAGCAAGCGCCCGCAACTGCTTCACGGTCTGCTTCGCTAACTCCTCGCGCAGCCAAGCCACGCCATGAGCGGCAAAACCTTCGCGCAGACCGTGCAGCTCTTGCTGCGGCGCAGCGCCAGCTTCATCCTGATCACAGGTCGAGAAGAAAAGCCTGAAACTGCCCTAGTCAAGAGACACTGCGCACGCGCCGCTTGAACTTAGAGCCCAAAAATAAGCAAGCTCCAAGCCACAAACAACATGACCCCAACCTGCGTAGGAATGCAAACCATGTGACGCACAAACCTTAGAGAAGAAGGAAACCAAGAATACAAAGCACGAAAATGACGCTTTCCCCAAGACGCCTCCTGCTCGGAGATGCACTGCGAGAGAGCATCAAGAAGCTCCTCTCTGTTTCGCGTGCTCGCGCCAGAGCCCTGTCGTGTGCCCGCAGCGCCAGCAAGCTCACGCAGCTGCGTGACCGTCTTTTTCGCAAGCTCCTGGCGCAGCCAACCTGCACCTTTAGCACGGAAACCGCGCCGCAGCGTCTGCATAGCATCCCCGCCGGTGTACGACATGCCTGGACCTACAAAAACCCGCACGGTCCAAGCTGGCGCCAAGGTTTCACTCAATAGCGCCTCTCGGGCCAAAGCTAGCACGCACGCATGTAGAGCAACGCATCATGAGGTAACAGACATACAGCACACGAACGCTAGCACCGACACACAGTGCGGGATGCCTTCTCCCCTTCATTGACGTCGGCGCGCCCCAGGACGTCCAAATCGGACATCGCCCAAACATGTTACATTTGAGAGCAACCGCTGATCACTTCCCACAGAGAGACGAGTCTGAGCGCAGGACTGGTTGCCTTCCCTCCAAATCGAGATCACTTTTTTCCCGCTCCACTGCATGGCTGATATTTGTCATGGTTTTGGAAACAGCGAATTCGGGGACCATGGTTTTCGCGATGGTTTTGGAAACAGCTAATTCGAGTACCATGGTTTTCGCGATGGTTTTGGACACAGCGAATTCGGGGACCATGGTGTTTGCGATGGTTTTGGAAACAGCAACTTCGGGAACCATGGTTTTCGCAATGGTTTTGGAAGCGAATTCGAACAGAACACACCGTCCCCAAGTTGTTTGCGAGGATTTCGAAGCTCCACAATTCCGCGCCCACGCTATTTGCGAGGATTTCGAAGCCCCACAGGATTTCGAAGCCCCAGAATTCCGCGCCCACGTTATTTGCCAGGATTTCGAAGCCCCACAGTTCCGCGCCCACGTTATTTGCGAGGGTTTCGAAGCCCCACAGTTCCGCGCCCACGTTATTTGCGAGGGTTTCGAAGCCCCAGAATTCCGCGCCCACGTTATTTGCTAGGTTTTCAAGGCCCCAGAATTCCGCGCCCATGTTATTTGCGGTGTTTTCATGCGCCCAGATGTCCGTTACCATGCTCTTTGTGGTGTTTTCATGCGCCCAGATGTCCGTTACCATGCTATTTGGTTTTGGAAACAGCAACTTCGGGGACCATGGTTCTCGCAATGGTTTTGGAAGCGAATTCGAACACACCGTCCCCAAGTTGTTTGCGAGGAGTTCGGAGCTCCACAATTCCGCGCCCACGTTATTTGCCAGGATTTCGAAGCCCCACAGTTCCGCGCCCACGTTATTTGCGAGGGTTTCGAAGCCCCACAGTTCCGCGCCCACGTTATTTGCGAGGGTTTCGAAGCCCCAGAATTCCGCGCCCACGTTATTTGCTAGGTTTTCAAGGCCCCAGAATTCCGCGCCCATGTTATTTGCGGTGTTTTCATGCGCCCAGATGTCCGTTACCATGCTCTTTGTGGTGTTTTCATGCGCCCAGATGTCCGTTACCATGCTATTTGGTTTTGGAAACAGCAACTTCGGGGACCATGGTTTTCGCAATGGTTTTGGAAGCGAATTCGAACACACCGTCCCCAAGTTGTTTGCGAGGAGTTCGGAGCTCCACAATTCCGCGCCCACGTTATTTGCGAGGATTTCGAAGCCCCACAGTTCCGCGCCCACGTTATTTGCGAGGGTTTCGAAGCCCCAGAATTCCGCGCCCGCGTCATTTGCGAGGATTTCGAAGGCCCACAGTTCCGCGCCCACGTTATTTGCGAGGGTTTCGAAGCCCCAGAATTCCGCGCCCACGTTATTTGCTAGGTTTTCAAAGCCCCAGAATTCCGCGCCCACGTTATTTGCTAGGTTTTCAAAGCCCCAGAATTCCGCGCCCATGTTATTTGCGGTGTTTTCACGCGCCCAGATGTCCGTTACCATGCTCTTTGCGGTGTTTTCATGCGCCCAGATGTCCGTTACCATGCTATCATTTGCGGTGTTTTCAGACGCCCAGGGTGTCCGCGGCGTACTACGTCTGGAGCAAGCTCCGCGTGTCCGTGGCGTACTACATTTGTACTACAAAAGTCGACTTTCCAGCCACGGAAGCTCCGGGTGTCCGCGGCGTACTACGTTTGTACTACAAAAGTCGACTTTCCAGCCACGGAAGCTCCGGGCGTCCCCGGCGTACTACATTTGTACTACAAAAGTCGACTTTCCAGCCACAGAAGCTCCGGGCGTCCCCGGCGTACTACATTTGTACTACAAAAGTCGACTTTCCTGCCACGGAAGCTCCGGGTGTCCGGGGCGTACTACGTCTGTACTACAAAAGTCGACTTTGCAGCCACAGAAGCTCCGGGTGTCCGTGGCGTACTACATCTGTACTACAAAAGTCGACTTTCCAGCCACGGAAGCTCCGGGGGCGTCCGTGGCGTACTACATTTGTACTACAAAACTCGATTTTCCAGCCACGGAAGTCCCCGGCGTACTACGTCTGTACTACGCAAGTCGAAAAAAAAACGCAAAAACACTACGGTTTTAGCACCGCGACCACGCGAAAACCCGCAGAGGGGTTACGTTTGTATGTCAAAAAACGCAAAAACACGACGGTTTTGGCACCGCGCCAACGCCCAAACCCGCAGAGGGGTTACGTTTGTATGTCAAAAAACGCAAAAACACGACGGTTTTGGCACCGCGCCAACGCCCAAACCCGCAGAGGGTTGACGCGCGCACGAAAAAAAATGCAAAAAACGACGGTTTTAGCACCGCGACCCAGCGATTACCCGCAGAGGGTTGTCCGCGCACAGAAAGAAACGTAAAAAAACGATGGTTTTAGCACCGCGACGACGCCGAAACCCGCAGAGGGTTGTCCGCGCAAATCAAGAAACGTAAAAAAACGACGGTTTTAGCACCGCGACCACGCCGAAACCCGCAGAGGGTTGCAATCCCGATTGGCGATGTCAACCCAGCCCGCCGCCTTAGAAAGAGTAAAAAGAGTAATTTTAATTTAGAAATCTAGGACTGGGTACGAAGGTCTAGTAAATTCTACGTAAATCTAGAAATTTGTATTCACTGATTACTAAGCTCTATGCAATTCACTCTATGCAATTCACTCTATGCACTTCCCTCTATGCACTTCACTCTATGCACTTCACTCTATGCATTTCACTCTATGCACTTCGCTCTATGCACTTCACTCTATGCACTTCACTCTATGCACTTCACTCTATGCACTTCACTCTGTGCACTTCACTCTGTGCACTTGCCTCTATGCACTTCACGCTATGCACTTGCCTCTATGCACTTCACTCTATGCACTTCACTCTATGCACTTCACTCTGTGCTTCACTCTATGCACTTCATTCTATGCCCTTCACTCTATGCACTTCACTCTATGCACTTCACTCTATGCGCTTCACTCTGTGCACTTCACTCTGTGCGCTTGCCTCTATGCACTTCACTCTATGCACTTCACTCTATGCACTTCACTCTGTGCACTTCATTCTATGCACTTCACTCTATGCACTTCGCTCTATGCACTTCAGTCTATGTTGTTGTGTCAGGGGGCTCCGCACGGAAGAACCCTTCGCGATGCTTTCGGGAATAATGATCATAATCATGATAATAATAATAATAATAATAATAGCAATAATAGTAATGAGAGTAATAGTGGTGAAGAAATAGCATCTTTATTAATAATAAGAAGAAGAAGAAGAATTTCGAAATAACAATAATCAAAATAGCAACAATAACATTTAAAAAAATAATAAGAATAACAAAGAATAATAGCAATAATGGAGACCGGAACCTGAAGATCCTTCAGGGGCTTCAGCACGCTAGCTCAGAAGCACAAAGGGTAGAACAAACACCGGGAGGACGCTGGCTTGCCTCTCCTGCAAAGCTGACAAGATTAATGGACGGCCTCTCCTATACTCCCCTTAGAACCTTAATAAAACTAATATTTTCAATATCCTCTTGGGTTTATATAAACAAAATTAAAAAGCAGCTCCCAAGGGGGATATAGTCTCCTAAATCACAGGGCCCCGGAGGCAAGACCAAAAGTTGGGTCTGCACAAAGCCGTAACAACAAAACAAAAAAAACCAAGCTCAACCCCGAAGAGCCTGAACAGGATTTAGATTTAGGGTTGAGGGTTGTTTCGGCATTTTGGGGGCAGTTTACCACACTGCACCGCGTCGCGCCTTTCGGCCAGTGCCTCGAGCAGCACCATGGTGCCAAAAGTGAGTAAACACGCTCAAAAAAGGCCTGACTCCGCGCTGAGTTAACGCGTAGGGTAGCACTCAGAACTGCGCATTCTTCGTTGTGTGTTGTGGGTGAGAGACTCTGAACCCGCTTGGGGCTTCGAGTCTTTATTGTGCCTTCGACTGCCCCACTTGGAGGTTCATGGTACTTATTAACCAATTATAACTGTACTTATACCCAACTTATGAGCCCCTTAAGTGCCCTTCTATGGTTGTTTGGACAGTTATAAGAACAGTTGTAGAGTTCCTCCCCTTGAACAGGGGCAGCCTTCCACTATCTTACACTTTTTTGCCCTCTCGAGGCGCTGTTACCTTGCAGCATCTTGCAGCATCTTGCAGCCATATGCACCCTTGAGAGCACGAAAAAAGGCGCCAAGCGGAAGAGACAAACTCTGTGCACCCTTTGCCGGTTAGGGTTTAGGGTTTAGGGTTTAGGGTTTAGGGTTTAGGGTTTAGGGTTTAGGGTTTAGGGTTTAGGGTTTAGGGTTTAGGGTTTAGGGTTTAGGGTTTAGGGTTTGGGGGCTGCGGATTTCAAACGGGAATGTAGGGGCTTCTGTGTCCACAGGCGCAAGAAGGCGAGTTTAGAGCGGTCAGGATGCCGATTCTACTCTGTATATATATATATACATACATACATATAAAACTGTATATATATATACATATATACATATAAAACGCATTTTAGAAACTGCTTTATATGTTTGTTGAATATGCTGTGGTATTATATGGACGTGCGGGGTCTACAGGTCTAAGGTTCCGCCGCGAATGCGGGTTTGGCGCTTGTGGTTGGGCTGGCTGGTTCTGGGTGGGGAATGAGGGATAGAAACCCTCAAAGGGCAGCATAAGAGGGAGAAAGGGTACCTAAGCGAAAACTCCCGCATTCCCTGCCTACTAAGAACCAGTAAGGCTAAAGGTCCCGCAGGGTTTCAGGCTTTTGGGTCTCGGGCTTTGGGTTCAGGGCTGCTGAGCTTTAGAAGTCTGTTTGCCGAGAGCTCCCAACCTTTTTTTCCTGCGAACCGATCTAATGCAGGCGTCTCACGAACACTCTTCGCTGATTTCGGCGTTGAGGTTTGCAGCTCAAGGGTTGAGGCTAAACCGCAAGATGATCCCTGAGCCCTTACACCCAACTCCGCTTAAACCCTCAACCCCGAAGCCCAAACACCCATAACATCCCTAAACAACCAAGAGCAACCTTCCGGAACCCTTAACATCCCTAAGCAACCAAAATAAACCCTAAACCCTAAACCCGAAACCCTAAACCCTAAACCCTAAACCCTAAACCCTCAACGCCCCGAAGCGGCTGCGTCAAGCAAGAGCTGCCCAGGAGCTGCTCTCTCAAGCCCCCATCACTTGGCGAATCGCCTGCACAGTCACCTCAAAGGCTTGTGGGGTTTAGGGTTTAGGGCTTAGGGTTTAGGGTTTAGGGTTCAGGGTTTAGGTTTTAGGCTTTAGGGTTTAGGGTTTAGGTTTTAAAGAAATTGTACAGGGTTTGGGCCCCAATAACGTTTTGAACGAAAGTTTTGACCGAAAGCTTTGACCGAAAGTTTTGTTTTTCTGGAACAATGTTTCATGTTTTTTGGGGGCGAGGGGGGGGTGAGGGAATGGGGCCCATTTGGTCCTGTTGCTAGTGGTAGTAGTTGTAGTAGGTGGCAATTCCCAACGTGGAAACCCCTCTGCCCACTTTGCCCAGCACTGGAAACCCCACTACCATGCAATTTTCACTAGTGGGTAATGGGAGGCAGGTCCGCCCAAAAAGGCTCAGACATGGTCCGGGAGAAGCCCAGAAAGGCTCTGGAATGATCCTAGCCAGAAAGTATCAGAGAACCCAAAAAGGCTAAACCCTAAACCTTAAACCCTGAACCCTAAACCCTAAACCCTTAACCCTTAACCCTAAACTCACATCCTGAAGTTGCGCGCCTCCGCCCACCCAGGGATCCCGGGCCTCGGTGCGGGGTTCGGTTGGGAAGGCTGTGAGACTTTTTGCTTAGGATTTAGGGTTTAGGGTTTAGGGTTTGGAGGGTTTGGAGGGTTTGGAGGGTTTGGAGGGTTTGGAGGGTTTGGAGGGTTTGGAGGGTTTGGAGGGTTTGGAGGGTTTGGAGGGTTTGGAGGGTTTGGAGGGTTTGGAGGGTTTGGAGGGTTTGGAGGGTTTGGAGGGTTTGGACTGCTGTGTTGCGACGTTTTGAACCTTAAACCCTAAACCCAAAACCCTAAACCCTAAACCCTAAACCCTAAACGAGAACTTTAGTGGGCTCCGCGCCGCGCATGAACTTCGTCTCAGCGTTGGCGCGGCTTGCTGCCCATGTCGGGTCGTAGGTGCCATGCTCGGGGTGATGTGGGGTCTTTAGGGTTTAGGGTTTAGGGTTTAGGGTTTGGGGTTTAGGGTTTAGGGTTTAGGGTTTAGGGGTTTGGGGGTTTGGGGGCTCAAAGGTCACTGCGACACTGAAGTGTGTCCACCATGACTCGGGTTCAACGATGCCTGTCCCCCTGCATCATAAGACATCAGCCATCAGGCTTCCCTCATGCTATTTCGGCAGAAAGCCCAGAAAGGCCAGCCTGCCCACTATGCTGACAGGGCTTCTTGCTACTTTTGCATCGACCATTCCCAGTTCAGCTCCGCACTTTTCAGGGGAGAAGATCTGCTCAAAGCCAGCTTCCTCCACAAGCGAACGGCTTTCAACTTTTCTGCGCCAGCCGAACAGCCCGACACCAGAGGCATCTCCGATCTTCCCGGCCGCTACGGATGAATTCACGGCCCATGCGAATGTCGTCATTGTACCCGTATAAGATGAGGCTAACAGGACAACTTTGCCGAAGACGCGTGCCTCGGCCGCATCCCGCGAGGTGCCACCTGTGCAAGTTCCTACCACCACCCAAACTCAGAAGCGGGATGTGCGTCTAGCACTAGACGTCCAGGGTCGCTCGAAGAATCTTGATCACACTACATAACGTCAGGCTCTCGAAACGCAGTCATCACACTAAACGGCACTGGACGCAGATTTTGGGAGCCGCCTCGTTCCTGTGTTCGGCTTAAGCCCATTTCAATGCGCGCCAAGTTGAGCCATGCCATGCATGCCATGCAACAGAATCAGAAACAGTCGGTCACTCCTCGAAAACCTAAAAGAACTTATATAAGCTCGACTGCAACCCCCGAACCTCCCGCGCACACCAAACGAGGACCCTTAACTTCAGGCCTTGAGGGCGATTACCCCTTTGGATTATTCTCGGGACTGCACACTATGCAGGTGACTCGGCTTCTCTAGGGTGAAGGTTTCAGAATATTCGGATGCCCTTTCTGGGGCTCCTGCAAGTAGAGTTCAGGGTTCAGGGTTCAGGGTTCAGGGTTCAGGGTTCAGGGTTTAGGGTTTAGGGTTTAGGGTTTAGGGTTTAGGGTTTAGGGTTTAGGGTTTAGGGTTTAGGGTTTAGGTTTAGGGTTTAGGGTTTAGGGCATCTTTGGAAATACCCAGGTGGCAAAGGAAGCCAAGCAGTCAGGATCCCGCAGCCTATGCACGCTGCAATGGGCCGTCTGTCTGTGGCCTGCCGGAAGGGACATGGGTTTCGAGTTGAGGGGTTTATTGTTTAGGGTTTAGGAAAAACCGAGGATAATCGTAGTAGTAATAGTCGTCGTAGTAGTAGTAGTAGTAGTAGTAGTAGTAGTAGTAGTAGTAGTAGTAGTAGTAGTAGTAGTAGTAGTAGTAGTAGTAGTAGTAGTAGTAGTAGTAGTAGTAGTAGTAGTAGTAGTAGTAGTAGTAGTAGGTGACACGCTCTTAACTGATCATGGTGTTTTCTGCTGTTTTTTTACTTTTTCTATCGTTTTCTCCTGTTTTTCCTCCGTTTGACGGGTTGGGGGGGGGTGGGGGGGTGGGGGGTAATTACGTGCTGTGCTTTGTGCACACATGACCACGCTCAGGGGTTGGGGGGGGGGGGGAATTACGTGCTGTGCTTTGTGCACACATGGGGGTCGTGCTGTGCTTTGTGCACACATGACCACGCTGTCTACTGTTTTCCTCTGTTTTTTTGGTTGGTTTAGGGGCTAGACCTTTTGGGCTCACAGTGGAGGGTTTAGGATTTGGGGTTTGAGGGTAGAGATCTTTTGGGCTTGTTTTGGGAACCTTTTGGGCTTCCACTGGAAATATGAGGTTTCAGGCTACAGATCTTTTGGGTTTTTTTGACATTTGGGGTTTAGGGTTTCCGGGCAAGGCCTTTTGGGCTCACAGTGGAGGGTTTCTGGGCAAGACCTTTTGGGCTCACAGTGGAGGGTTTAGGGTTTGGGCCTTCAGGGTAGAGACCTTTTGGGGTCTTGGGTTTCAGGGCAAGACCTTTTGGGCTCACAGTGGGGGTTTGGGGCTCGAGGGTAGCGATCTTTTGGGGTTTTTGGGGATTTAGGGTTTAGGGTTTAAGGGCAAGACCTTTTGGGCTCACAGTGGAGGGTTTCGGGTTTGGGGCTTCAGGGTAGAGATCTTTTGGGTTTTTTGGGAGCCTTCTGAGCTTCGACTGGAGATATGGGGTTTGGGGTTTCAGGCTCCAGATCTTTTGTGTTTTTTTCTTTGGGATTTGGGGTTTAGGGTTCAAGGGCAAGACCTGATTTGGGGTTGAGATTTTAAGGGTGCACGACTCTTGGGCTTGCTTCAGGTTTTGGGGTTTCGGATTTCAGGGTGCACGACTGTTCGGCTTGCTGGACGCGTTCGGATTTAAGGACAAGTTTGGCCACATCTTAAAAAAACCCGCGAAACGCTGTAAATACCGGTGTTTTCCTCTGTTCTGAGAACGCGTCTGCGCGAAGTAGGGCCTGTAATTTACCGTTTTTGAAGCCCGAAAACACTGTAAATACCGATGTTTTCCTCCTGCGCCTAAAGTAGTTGAAAGTAGTTTCCGGAAATTTTTACACGTCGATTTTTCGTGTCCGTAAACGGACAAAGCCAGGAAACACTGTTAATACCGAGGTTTTCGTCTCTTAACACGAAAATGGCATGCCACAAAACCCCTGCGATCAATTAAGAACGTGACGCCTAGTAGTAGTAGTAGTAGTAGTAGTAGTAGTAGTAGTAGTAGTAGTAGTAGTAGTAGTAGTAGTAGTAGTAGTAGTAGTAGTAGAAGTAGTAGTAGTAGTAGTAGCAGTAGCAGTAGCAGTAGCAGTAGCAGTAGCAGTAGGAGTAGTAGTAGAAGTAGTAGTAGTAGTAGTATTAGTAGTAGTAGCAGCAGCAGCAGCAATAGTAAGTAGTACGAATAGCTATAAACCTAACAAAGCTATGTGATAATACGAATAGCAATCATCATAATCATAATCGTAATCATAATCGTAATCATAATCATAATCATAATCATACCAATAATCATAATCATAGCAATAGTAATAATAGCAATAATAGCAGTAATCGCAATAATGGTATTAATTGTAATAATAGAAATAACAAGAGTCAAAATAGCAATAGAAATTAATTGTAGTCACAGCAATACGAGGAATAGTAGTAATAGTACTGATTGATAGCAATAATCGCAATTAAAAATCGCAATAAGAGCAACAATTATTATCGCAATGAAAGTAATAGTACCTGTAATAGGAGTAGCAACAAAGACAAACAAGCAACAGCAATCGGCATAGTAACAATGCAATGACAACAATAGTAAAAAAACAACAAGTAGCAATAGTAGTACCAACGGTCACTATAGCAACATTTAAGAAGCAAAAAGATCCTTTTAAAAGTTGTTGAAATCAGCGTAACAATAGTAAAAATAGAAAGAATAACAGTGCTAGTTATAACAGACTAACAATGATAATCATCATAGTAACGATGATAGCAAGAAAATGTTGTAATAGTAATACTAGCAATGTTATACAAGTAGCAACAGAAAAATAAAAATACCAAAAGAAAAAAGCGTAGGAATATAAATCGGGTAGTATCAAAGAACATTGACACAAGACAACGCATAAACTGAAAGAGTGCAACATAATAGATGCAAAACACATTTAAGCAGATGAAAGCAGAAACAAAAGATCGAAAATGAACAAGTAAATCAGCACTAGAGGAAGACAAATACGAGCGCCTGTGCCCAGGCGCGCACCGCACTGGGACTGCCGAAAGTGGCGATGGCGCACTTCTCCATCAGTGCCTCGGGTTCCGAAGTTGAGTGTGGAGAGATTGTGAGCAGAGGGCAGTGCTCTAGGATTCCAGGAGTAAGCTACAGTAGGTTGAGACCTAACGTGCACAGGCCCCGAATCCCCAAACCAGAACGAGCCAGGCTCGGGCCTACTCCCATTGAATCCTCGAGTCTTTGCTTCGGGCGCCATGAGCTTGAAACCGATGCCACAGCGGGGGGGCAGCAGAACGCCGCAGGCAAACTTTGCCCAAGCCTCTTGCGGTTGCTTGGCCTTGTAGCAAGTCTTTGCTCACATATCTTGCCACCGGCCTGCTCTCCCACTGGGGGTTTACGAAATAGGGGACCTCTAGAATGGACCCCAACTAGTAGGATCCCGTTTTTTTAATGAGGACCCCATTAAGGTACCCCGAATATCGCAACCCCCTACATGACAGCACAGCCTGCTTGCTTTGAGCAATGGCTGGCAGAGCGGACTGCGATGCTGCAGCATTGTCGCCATGGCAGAACCAAACACCTGACTCTCCTACCTCGTTGTTACAGCTCCTAGCTTCTCCGGACCACGCAAGAAGCTTGGAGTTGGGGAGTGAGCTCATTCCGACTCATTCCTCCGCCCTCCCTCCCGGCCAGTGCTGCAGCTCGGCTGCTGCAATTTCTGGTCGCTAGCCAAAGCACGGTGTGTTTTCGGCCGTGCGCTGGTGAATTAGAAGGTTGCAACGACAAGAAAGGCTCCGCCCCAGGACAGCTTCGAGCTCGACGGAGTCGGCGGTCGTTACTAGGAAGAGACCCCCAAATAGGGCCGTGCGCTCGTCGTTGCTCTCACACCCGCCTGCAGCGCCCGCGCAGAACCGGAGCAGAGACACGCCCGACTCTCGACGGTCTTTAGGAACCGCGAAGCCTTAGCAACATGAAAGCAACTATCCTTGAAGGACTCCAGGACGCAAAATGTATCTTCGCTGCAGCGCTTCTACAAGAGCACGGGAGGAACTGGTAAGCACTCATTACCATCATGGTCGGGGTGCTAAATTCCACGTAAGGAAGGGGTGCAGCCTGCTAGGGCCTTGGATGCCTTGGGGCTCGTGCAGTCTCTTGCAGCTGCGGGCTTCCAGAGATCCTTGTCAAGTTAGGGTCTATTCTATGCCCAGCTTCCGGGCTGACTGAGAGACAGGGAAGAGGGAGACAGAGAGATGAAAGAGAGAGAGAGAGAGATGGAGGAAAGACAGAGAAAGGGGGGCACTTCACCATCTGTAGTTCTTTAGCCCAAAACCCCTTACAAGATTCCACCTCACATCAGAAACGCAACCGATGCTCCAACCCTCATCTTGCAAGCGGCGCAGCGTCACTCGCTCTGGTGTCGGACGAGCTCGATCTGAACCACAGCAATGGAGTTTGCGCGCTAGGGGGGGGGGGGGGGGGGGGGGAATCAGAGCACCCCAAAAGCCCCTTGACCTGCAACAAACTACAAACCTGACAAACCTGACAAACCCTGGCAACACCTGGCAACACCTGGACCCTAGAGCTCAAGCGCCTCCTTAGCTGCCATGGCCGTGTAGTCAATGGGCGCACGCAGCTTTCTGTCGAACTGGCTTATCTTAAGCCGCAAACACTACCCCAAACCCTAAACTCAAGGCCCTGCAGCTTCTCGTGTCACAACAGCTGCTGCGAGGCCTCCTTTCGAACTACAAAAAGAACACCGCAACGAAGCCCGACAGAGAAAGAACCCCGGATTAGCCATCGCACTAAAGGAGCACCCCCCAGAAGGACCCTTTGAACACTCCCTTGAGCCCCTGGTTTTGGGGATCCTAAAACACCCTCCTGTCCGGCCTTCGAGAGATCCTCGGAGGCCACCTTCCAGCGCGATGAGTCTTTCTGTCGAGGGAAGTTGGGGCTTTTTGCTAGGCTTTGCGTAGCCACTCATCTCCTTTTAGGATCAAGGCTTCTGTCCTTCGGGCTTGAGGCCTCCTGGTAAAAGCAGCAGAAACGGCAAACGCACAGTCGAAACACACAGCAGCTTGGGGCAATTTCCCTGCACGAAGCCCATGAGCACCCGCATCGGGCAGACAAGATCTTCGCATCCTGTCAACCCTCAAACCACACAACGCACCACAAAAGAACCCAGAGAGCCATCGAATCAAAGCCCTCTGCCCGCAACGGAATGCTCATCGATTGCACCCTCGCCACCCGAACGGCACCCACACTCTGCTTCTGACACCAGGATTTAAGGGGGGGGGGGGGGGGGGGGGGGGGGAAGGGTGAATGTCAGAAGAATGCTCATATAATAGTAATAATAACACTAATAATAATTATAACAATAATAATAAGAAGTATAATAATGATAATCATAACAATATTAATAATAACAACAACAATAATAATAATCATCACAATAATAATAAATACTAAATAATAAATAATGAATAATAAATAATAAATAATAAATAATAAATAGTCAATAATCAATATTAATGAAGAATAGTAACACTAACAATAATAGTAAAATAACAGGGTCAATTCCACCTCCGAGGCTGTGGACATGGCCCGCTCGAGCAGCGGAGGCGGTCCCGCAGGCACGCCTTGCGTCTGGGCCGGCTGCATCCTTTGGCTTTGCCAGGGCTTGGGAAGATTTGTGGGTTTATGGGTTAGGGTTTAGGGTTTAGGGTTTAGGGGTTAGGGGTTTAGGGTTTGGGGTTTAGGGTTTAGGGTGTAAAGATGGTGCGATCATACACAGCAGGGTGTGGGGCGCTACTCAATCGGATCCGGTCGCTGGAAAAAGTGAGAGTTCTTGCAATTGAAGTGACAGCATGTCGCTGTGAATGATGCACAAGCAAGCGGGCGAGCAAGTCTTGGCAACAGTGAGGGCATTGCTGAGAGGCCTCAAACGAAGATACAAGTAGTGGAGTATTTGTAATAAGTAACTCCTTAGCAGCAGCAGGGTGGTGGTGGGGTCGCGGTAGTGGTAACGGTAGTTGTAGAAGTATTAGCAGCGGTCACGGTCGTGGCGGCAGTAAGCTGCAGCGGCGTCAATCAAGGAGTGGTAGCTGCAATAGACTCCACGAATACGCCCTAAGCCCCAAACAAACGTATTCAACCCCTTCAACACCACAAGGCTAGCTCCAAGCCCAGGCACAGCTTTATCGCCCGCATGGCGTTTCGGAGAGTGGTGGCAGCCTGATTTAGAATTTTCTTGGGGTTTGGAGGTTTGCGGGCACCGGGTTAAGATTTGGCAGGCCATCTTAGGCGAGAGGCAACAAAACAACATCCCGCATCAGGCTTCGCAGCGTCTCTTAGGATCTGCACCCTGAACCCTAAACCCTAAACCCGAAACCCAAAAAGACCAAATCACTCGCGGGCCTTCCACTTTCGATTGCCCAGCAAGCTACGCTCACGGAGGGCCAGGCGCTTCTTCCTCGGATCCAGCTTGGCGACTTGGAGGTTTAGGATTTAGGGTTTAGGGTTTAGGGCTTAGGGCTTCGGGTTTGGGGTTTGGGGTTTAGGGTTTCGGGTTCCGGGCCACGACATTTATGTCAAAACCACGCCAACAACCAAAAACGCGAAAGAGAAGGTGATGCCTAGGAGCCACACCAGTTTGCGCGTTCATTGGTTGAGCTTTTCTGGGCTGAGAACAGAGTTGCCCAAACAAAGCACTAGTCCATTCGTTCTGCACTTGAGCCTCGAAAGGGCTAGGACTTAGCTGGGTCATTCCATGGCCCGCCTCTGCTGCGCTTTCTCATGCCTCACAAAGTCCGGTCTTCTCTTCGGAGGGTTCTCTTCGTCTTCACAGCTCGCAGCACGCTGATTGGCAATCAGCTTTACGTAATCTGGTTCACAGAGGGACGGACTTCCACCAAAAAAGAACGGACAGTATGTAAACTGTCTATGTGTACACATGCATATACATAAATATATAGTATATGTTCGCAAACAGCGTTCCAACACTAGGGGTTCTTATGTTGACAGTAGAAGGGTCTTAGATTGATTTGCCCGCACGGCGCCCGCGACGCACGGACGTTGTTCCTCGAACGGCGGTCGCATCTTGGACGAGAGTCCTGTTTTTTCCATGTCGGGTGCCCGCACGGACTTCTCGGACATATCACAAGCTAGATGCTTTTGGCTTCATGGATAGCGTCGAATCGCGCCCTCGCCTAGGCTCCGTGCGCATTTTCTGGCGTTTGCAGTGGACATCGTGCTCTCCGCCTAAGTCCCGTGCGCTTTTCAAGGCTTGCATCGCTGCGCTCTTGAGAACGGCTCAAAACGCGGCAGGCGCGTGGTTTCCTGTCGTTTGGGCTGTTGGATGGGTTCGCTGCGCGCGGCCACTCTAAGAGGACTTGCAATTTGCGACGTTGGCCTCTGGGCTCGCCGAATGCCATTCTGTCGTCGCTTTTGGGCGTCATTTGCAGATGTTGGAAATCGCGCTCCCGACTGGGCGCCGTGCGCATGGACGCCGCCATCCTCGAAACTGTCCTTGCTTTTGGACGTCGTCCGCGAAACGCAAAACCGTCGTCGCTTTTGGACATCGGGGCTCACGACATGCGCTTCTGTCGTCGCTTTTAATGCTGGTATAATATACATATGTATACAAAAATTACTGCATATACACTTCACACTTTTCATATATATATATATACATATACATATACATATACATATGCATATACATATACATATACATATACATATACATATACATATACATATACATATACATATACATATATATATACACACACATACATTACGTACCACATATAGATGTCCTGACTTGTATGTATATCTACGCTTGAACTTACATTTACACTCACATTTACATCTACATGTAGATCTATATGTACACATATGAAAAAATTTGATTACTTGTTAAGATTACATTTTGCACAAATGCTCACGCAGACCAGGGATCTCTTGCTGCAGCGTCTTCGCAGCATCCTTGAGGGCCTTCACTGCCGAGTCAACCTTCAGAATGTGTTGCGAGGATCATCTTCCTAGTCAAAACATAGGCTCAACACATACGTGTACACATAGTAAGCTATAATATACAACATAGCGTATGACATATGTTATATATACATACATATCATATACATTATAGATGAAGAGAATATAGAGTGTAATCTCTATATGTTATATTGTATACGTATAGTGCATATTCATCATACATATTTAGTCTGGATACGTATAGTGCATGCATATTCATCAGACATATATATATATATATATATAGACATATACATTATGTTTAGCACAACATTTCATGTGCAAAGGGTCACATACTCATACTCTGTTTGATAACTACATGTCATATGTAATGTCAATAATGAGTTTAACTATTGAAATATATAAAGACACACATGTCTCGAAAAAACAAAAATATATATATATGTATATGTATGTATGTATACGTGTATGTGTACATGTATATGTATATATACATATATATACATATATATGTATATATATATATATATATATATATATATATATATATGTGGGCGCTGGCCTTGTAGAAATATCTATATGTCGGGGGGCCTAGGCTTGAAGAACAGCTGCGGCAGGCGGCAGGAGGCTTCGGGAAAGGCATGGCACAAAACTCATCGCGCCGAGCAAACGACGCGCCTCGCCCGCCAGCTCACCGGGGATGCGTGACCGCAGCTGCTCCAGAGCCAGCGCACAGTCCTCCACAGCCTCACTAGGGCTTCGGGGTTTGGCTGTTCCGGAGCAGAAGGAGGCAATGTGAGCACAAAACGGGGGAGGCCCAAACGGTCAGCAAAGAGAACAGCAAGCGGACTACGCTACACTGTTACACATGAAGGAGGGCCCGGGCGTAGCACATTGGGAGAACACAGCGTAGCTAAGAGTGACCAGCGACTCGCGACCAGAGATTCAGCGAGCGGACGAGGCCAAGAGTAAACCATGACAAGGCCTTGCCGAAGTGAGTTGGCCAATGCCCGCCTTTCTCTCACCCGTTTACCAACTGGAAGCCTATCCCCTGGACCTCAAAACCCTACAAACCCAACACACCCTGCAAACCCTACAAGCCCTAAAAACCCTACAAGCACTGCAAACCCCTACAAATCCTGCAAGCCCTACAAGCCCTACAAGCCCTTGAAAACCTCACAACCCTCCAAAGCTGATCCCAGCTCCCCCGCCTTCGGATCCGTTGAGGTTTCCGCCTTGGCGGAATCGTCGTCTACTGCCAGCTGCTGCTGCACCAGGTTTGCATACTTGCCGCCAGCCTCCCCGGCTTGTGTACATTCGCGCGATTCCGTAGAGTCTGGGCTTGGGAGCTGTTAGGGCTTCAGGCTTCAGGCTTTAGGGGTTTGAGATCTCCGGGTTGAAGCATCAAGGCTTTGAAAGCTGGATATGTGACGCTGCGGAAAGCTGGATGTGTGGCGTACGGAGCCGCAGTGCTGCTGTGTGGAAGCGCGACCAAGACCGAATGATCTCCATCTTGAATACCCCGCGGCTTTGCAGCACAAGCACTTCAACAACACATACTCGACTCCCAACGCGGCATGCAAGGATCCAACACAAAGGAGGAAGGAGACCAGCAGAAACACCCTAAAGCTCATACTAAAGGCACATGTGCCCGGGGAGTACAGGGCATCAAAAGAATTGCAAAAAGCTAACGTGACAGCCGTCACTGCTACTGTGAGCAATGATGTCTCCACGTTCGCCAAATGGGAAGCATATTAGGTTTTTCAAAGGGCGGAGCGGTAGTGACAGGCAACTGGTGTCGGTGTGATCTGGAAAGCTAGGCAGAACATGGGAGGTTGCTAGTCAGCGATGGCACTATTTGTCGAACATGAGCAACATGCAGGTGAATGCGATCATCCCTTATCCAACTGTCTGAAGTCTGGACAGGTGCTGTCTTCTTGTTACCTCCTCAAACTTGCTCTCGCTGGACAAAGTGCGAGAAGAAGCTCCGAACCCCTCCGTACCTTCCGCAGCAGCTCCGCATGCGTTCCCTGCTCAATGATCTTCCCGGCTTCCATGACCTCCAGCAGCTTGCAGATACTTGCAAGTTCTGTTGTAGGGTTTAGGGTTTAGGGTTTAGGGTGTAGGGTTTAGGGTTTAGTGTTTAGGGGTTTAGGGTTTAGGGTTTACAGTAGGGTGTAGGGTTTAGGGTTTAGGGTTTAGGGTTTTGGGTTTTGGGTGTAGGGTTTAGGCCACTCAGCCATTCCATCAATGCAAACCAGCAGCCATGATCAGGTCCGCATTCATGATCGTAGACAGCCGATGAGCGATGGCGATCACGGTCCGGCCCTTCATCAACGACTCCAGGGCCTTCTGAACCTGGAGAAAGCATCTGGCCATAGGCAAGACTCGACTTGACTGCACTTAGGAGGGTAGCAAAAAATTAAAACTTTTTAGCTGCCCTTATTAAGAAACCCAATAAACCTCAAAAAGGCTAAGGATCAAAAGCTACAGAAAAGCACACCACAAAGTAGAGAAGACCGAGAGCCCACACACACACACCCCGCACGCGCGCACGCGCGGGCGCGCGCCTTCCGCTCCGAGACGGTGTCCAAGGCCGAGGTGGCCTCGTCCAGGAGCAGGATCCTTGGTTTAGGGTTTAGGGGTTCGGGGTCAGGGTTTAGGGTTTGGGGTTTAGGGGTTTAGGGTTTAGGGTTTAGGGGTTTAGGGGTTTAGGGTTTAGGGGTTTGGGGTTGCGGGATGGGAGGATGGGGAAGCCGCCGCCATTCGGGTGCAAGTGCATCTCCCCTGAACCCCCGCAACGAAAGGATGTCCTCGGAAATCCCCCATACGACCTGGCAAACACACACACACACACACACACACACACACACACACACACTCGAACCTGAACCCTAAACCCTTAGCGTTCACTCGCGCTTCGGACTCTACCTTTTCTGCCACAGCTCAAGGGCCCTTCGAGAGGTAACAGCAACAGCAAACAAAATGTACAACATGCAAACTGCTGCTGCTCTCAGAACTACACATGAAAAGGCACGCACTCAAGCTATACATGCAAGAATCGAGGTGATATTCACACCCGTCTTACTTATTGATGCGTGCCTGGGGCTCATTCGAGGTTTTGGTTGAATTCTGAGTGTGACTATACAGTGTCTATACAGATAGGCCTCTACCAGACTGCGATTCCTTGGCAACTACTAGCTCACTATTCCTGACGGTGATGTCTGTACATCTTTGTTCCCGTCACTCATTTGTAGTCATCTTCTGGATTTCACTCTTGGTGAGCTTGCGATCGGGATCTGATAGCTGCACACTCGCTTCTTCCATCAAGCGAAATAGCTGATGCGGTTTCATCGACTTGGTGAGGGCATCGGCGATCTGGGTTGCAGTATCCGTCCAGCGAAGCCTGTCTCCATGTGGACTGTACAACTGCCATGTCGCTGTCTCACCATCCCAAAGTTGTTGCCTCATTGCAGTAAGTTCGATCATGAGTCGCTTGTCCGACACCTTGTTCACTTGCTGGCTGTTGAGGTGGTCGCTCAAACTTCGACAATCCGTGACCCATAAGTGCTTCATCTGCCTCTGAGTCTCTTCTAGCCATCCCTTCAGGCTTGGCAACTGTCCGCGTAACTCACAGATGATTGCTCTCAAACGGTCACCGTTCTCCACTGCCGTCTGCATGGCAAAAGTCTCCGATGCCAAAGTACTGCGACACACCCGCTTGATCGTTGTCGATCCGAAACTCAAGACATGAGCGACGTGGTCATTGCCGTCGGACGCACTCTCTGCCGTCAAGTAGTGCAGCCTGCCCTGTTGACTTCGGAAACCTGGTTCCTGTGCGAATGAAGCGTCTGAGAACGTTACAATGCAGAGATCACTCCAATTCAACGCTCCGGCTGGGTAGTACAACGATCTTCCTTGATCTGCTTGCGCCAATTCCACAACGCGGTTGGCCTCTTTGAGATCAGCCACTGTCGCGGTTGAGCAGGCCCGTTGCAAACAGTTCACCTTGTAGCAAAGGTCTGGTCTGGCAAAACGCGCTACCCAAGCTAAGGATCCTACCACGCTCCTGAGGCTTGTCACTTCTGCCTCGGTCGCGTGATCACTTGCCTTGCGCCCTGCCGGGATCACAATCTTCCTGATCTGTCTCGTGTTGTCCTCTGCATCTATACGCACACTGTAGTCTTCACCTTGCCGGAATCTTCGACCGCAGAACCTGAAATCTGAGTGCTCTATCTTTCCTACGTCAAACTTCGCCAGGATTCGTTCCATGGTGTCGCTTCCTTCGGGCGTTGCGCACCATAGTAGATCGTCCACGTGCGTTGCGAGGATGATGGCCGGCAAGTTATCAGTGCCCAACAGGTAGTAGAGACCCGGAGCGATCTTGCTCACTGTCAATCCTTCCGTCTTCGCTTCCGAGCTCAATCTGTTGTAGAACCCGCGCCCCGCGTCAATGGTCCCGTAGATCGGGAGCCTGCATAGAAGCATGGCATCCTCGGGCACATCGGGTAGTCCACCTGTTGGCTGCCTCATCAACAGCACGCGCTCCAAAGGCGAGGATTGAAAGTATGCACTCGAAATGTCGCCACAATACAACTTGAGGCACCGCGATGCTGCATAGCTCGCGATGAGACAGTGCACTTCGGAATCTGCTGTCGGGCTGTCGCACCGCAGCTCGTCCCTTCCTACTGCCTCAAGATGACCGCATGCCACTAGGCGACTGCGATATTTCGGGGAATAATCTGCACTCCCCTTTTGATGTTCGTGTTTGTCAACATCAATCCATTGTGACGGTATGGGTTTGTGACCCTCATCGAGGAGTTGTCGCAACATCTCTCCTCGGATGGGTATCGCGGCGTTATACTTTTGATATTTGTTCCACTCATCTCGGCGCGAACCTTTGATCCCCTCCTTGACGTGGTCTTCACACTTGAACACGTTTATCTTCCGGGGTTTCTTGCCCGCTTGAGCTTCCACCTCCATACCAAACCTTTCCGCCATGAAGGCTCGGAACTCCGGATCATCCATCTTCACCTCGGGCAAACTCGATAGATCAACCGGGCTTTCGCTCCGGACACGAAACAAGCTGAAACCGGTCCACGCCAAGTTCGTTGCTCCATTTGCTTCTTGGATCATTCCCCACTCGTCATGCACGACATCGTTCGCGCCGTCCTCGAAGTACCTATGGGTTTCCCTAGAGTAGCCAATCTTGCCGAGGTCACCTGGGAAATCATTTTCCTTGGGGTCAAACATCAAGCGACGGGGCTTCACATGTACTCTGAAGCACACATTCCGACCAACCTTCCAGTGGTCCTCGTCTCCGCACACACCCATCAGATCTGCCATACGTTCAGGCGATTCTCTCGAGGTCTCTTCCTTTTTCACGTCATTGGGTGGTTCCTCAACACTTCCTAGACACGACACGGGAACGCAGTCATTTTCGATGCCGAAACCCAACTCTCTCAGCATGTCCCGCTCCCGATCCCCAAGATTCATGATTCCCCTACTTGTGAATGCGCTGATTGACCATCGTTCTCCATCGAAAGGCAAGGTAGCGTGGACTTCATTGGGATCGAAAGACGCTATCCTGTTATGGCACTCCAAGACACGGCCTGGAACTCCATTCATCATCACATCTCCGTCCTGATTTTGCAGCCACAATTGGCCACCTGCGTGATTTCCCAATGTCGTGATCTGGTTCATGCTGCCTTTCAGGTTGTTTGAGTCCTTGTGGGGCAAAGCCTTTAGGTCCCTACCAATCTGGAGCGATGACCACATGCCTGATGCACCCTTCGCCTTCATGTAGCCATTCAGGTAACTGACCAAGTTCGGATGTCGTTTCGTCGACTCGGTGACCCCCGTGAACCCGCCATGTGCATACACTCCGAAGCTGTAGGCGCGTCCATCTCTCACAGCTCCACGTTTTCCTTTTCTCACTAAGGGTGCCTCATTTAGGAGCCTTAAACACGTTGCTGGGCGAAAATCACCTGCCTCCAATGCGTCCATGGCGTCCTGCTCCGAGTCGATGATGTTCATCGTGCCTTGCACGACGTCCGCCTCATTTTCCTGGAGCACATCCACGACCACCTGACTGGCCTGTACATCTCTGCTCGGGCGCTGGTCCTCCTCATCAGATGAGCTGCTTGAACTTGAGCTCGAGCTTGGGGCTTCAGGAGGTTCGATTTCTTCCTGCTTTCTCTTCCTAGCTGATGCGCTCGGCTTGCTCGATTTCCTTTCCGGCTTTTCTTCTTCTTCTCTCGCATCTACGTATCCCTTCTTTCTCTTCTTAGGACCCTCTGTAAGCGTCTCAGGTAGAACAGGTATCCCGTTAAGAAGGCAATGCGCCAGCACTTCCTCCTCAGATGCCGGCCTCAGCGAGTGAGTCGAGCAAAGGACTGGGACCCCTCCGTTCACCACCCATATCGCTTCTGCGCTTTCTCTACCGATTACCCTGGATGTCGTGCTCCATTTCGTGCCGCCCGCTTGGGCGTCTCTCCGATACACGACATAGTCACCGGTGTTGTACTCTTCCTTGATCGGTACCGCATTCTTTGTTAGCGCTTTCTGGATCCTACGGCTGGTGTCCAGTTTCACCATTGCTTTCTTTGCTTCGATGCGGCTTTTCTGTCTTAGAGCAAAGGCCTCGGCACCGCTGAACTTGCCCTCCATGGCGCCGATGTCGTTCCAGGTGTCCTCGTCGGTGAGCGTGCCGGGTTCCCTCGGGTTGCGACCTAACACCCACTGACTAGGCGAAAAACCCGACACGTTCATGGACATGTTCTTGACGGCGACGACTTCCTGGATCACACTCCTCATCGCCTCAGGCCCAACGGTGCTCACGCCTGCCACGGTCTTTCGGATGACCGCCTTCGCGAGCCCTCCGTGCCTCTCGGTTTTACCGAGCATGTGGGGCGACTCGGTTGCGGCGAACCTGATGTCCACCCCCTTCTCCGTGAGATAGCTCACAAAGGCTCCTCTGTTATGAGTACCTCTGTCCAGCATCACGGTCCGCGGGAGGCCCGCCCAAGTAATCCACCTCTGGAACGCTTCAAGACACATCTCTGACGGAGGAGGTCCTTGACTGTCCTTGGTGACTTCCCTCAGCAACTCGATCTGTTGGAAGCCCGTTGCTAGGTCTACCACGTTGAAACACTGGTATCGGCGACGGTTTGAGTCTGTCGTCTCTAGGACATCCACTCCTACCGTGTCCCCGAACACGTAGTTCCCGTGGCCAACCCCCACAGGGTGTGACCTGGGCTTGGGGCTCGTGCGCTCACAGCTTTCGCACTTGATGAGCTTGGCCGCTTCGATGAACTCCTTGGCTGCTCCTCCTGCTCTCAGGATGGCCTGCAACGTCCTAGGAGTGGGGTGGTTGAAGGACCTATGCAAGCGACGAAGTGCCACGCGAACGCGCTGGGGCAAACGCCTCCAGGCCTCCCTTCGCTTGGCCTCTGTTTGCGGAGTGCCTGGGAGTGGCAAGGATTCCAACCACACTCGTTCGCGATCTGCAGGGCTTAGCTCTGGCTCCTGGTTTTCAGGATCTGGGTGCTGCTGTTCGGGATCGTGGGGCGCTACATCGCCATCTCCTCCTAGCTCTTCATCCGAAGCTCCCAAACCCTCAGCAT